AGAAGAGAGAGAGAGAGAGACTATGAAATGAGGATTTCAGATGGTATAAAATTCTACAGTACTTATCTTTAATTAAATTTGACATAAAACCACACCCACCTTCAGGGACAACTAGAAAAATCAACCTGCAGAAAAATAATTTTGGGACCATTTAATAATTAAAGTTGTTTTATTAATGAGTTACTAGTTCATTATAGCATAAAAGTTAAGTACTAATAAACCTCATGTTTGAATCGTCATCGTAATGCCTCAGCTTCCACGCAACCAAGATGTTATACAGTACAGTGGTACCCCGAGTTTCGAACTCTCTTCATTCCAGAAGGCTGTTTGAGTGCCATTACCAAACAAATTTGTTCCCATAAGGAATAATGTAAATTAGATTAGTTCGTTTCAGACCCCCAAAAATACACTTACAAAAAGCACTTACAATAATGCACCTACATAATTGGTCGAGTTGGGAGCAATTCGAAACTTGGGGTACCACTGTAATTTGATATCAAGATGAACTAGTGGTTTTCTTATCTATTATCCATCCTTCATGGCTAATAAGGGATATTAGAAATGGATACCAATTACTTTAAACCTTCTATTGGCTAGCACCCTCCTTTGAAGAATAGAGCTGCTTTCCTATGTATGCACAGAATAGTTAATATTTGAGTTTTAAGGTTCACATTGTCTAGGCACACTGCCTACACTGTAAGTAGTGTGACACTGCATTGAAGAGTGTAAGGCATATACTTCATAACCTGGTGCTCCCATAACCATGAGCACCAGGTTTATGTTCCTGTGAATAGGAATCAGTGTCTAATGTTTACTGCCCCTCCCACCCCAATACTTATGTGGGATCTGGCTGTGTGGAATAGTACTGTGTACCTTTGATGCCCAAAAAAGAAAAAAATTTTTATTATTATTATTTGAGCCTTGCCTGACCTGATATATTTGTAAATAGTTTCACAATTTTTTAAGCATTCTAAACTCTCTCGTGTGGCGGTAAGAGATGAAACAACTGGAACACAAATCTAGTGCTCCCAAGTATTAGAAAAAACACCTAGGTTCCGTTGGGTGCCCATACTTGTGGAGTTTGGCTAAGTGGTATGGTACTGCATACTTTGATGCAGAGTGCACAGGTTCAAGTCCTGCCCTGGTCTGAGATAATGCTTGCAAATAATTTTTAGCTCTTTTTACAAATTGTCAAACAGTGTATATATTTTTTCAACTTGATAGCCATCACCTGCCAGGGGAGGGGGGTATCGTCAAACTCTCCTTCAACTTCATTCAGTCCTAATTTTATCGAAACTAGATTATGAAAACCAGATATATTCTGCAGCTTCTCCCACAACTCTTTCTAAATTTGATCCCATTCATCATCAGGGATTATGGTTGTGTCTAGGTGCTTTTCGTTTTCCNCTCCCCCGTCGAGAGCCTATATGCAGAGGTGAATGTTCCATCTTTGATCGACTGGCATGATGCCCATTACTTCTGATGTTTTGTCCGCTCTTATGACCTTCACGATCCTTCTACATACAAGGTGGTAACAGATATTAGTAGAGGTCCATTATTTGATCACTGCCTCTGTTTACTCCATTCCTTTTCTCTTCGTATTCACTTGCTCTTGCTTCTCTTAGTTTGCCCCCTTTATATGTTCATCTAGCATCTAACTTTTCTCTTCCCCCTTGGGAGGTTCTGATAGTTCGAGTCTGTTCCCCACTGCTGCGTGTGAAACCTCATTTACCTACAGCTGTTTCTCACTCCCTTTTTCTTAACCACTTCCAGTCTCATTCTCATGCTGTTGCAGTTTACACTGATGGTTCTTAAGCCTCTGACAGTGTCTGGTTTGCAGCAGTGTTCCCAAATAGTGTTGTCTGAGGTCATTTATTAGACTCAGCTAGCATTTTCACAGCTGAATTGTATACAGTTCTCACAATGAATATCCATATTCCATCCAGACCTACCTCAACATTTGTGGTAGTGTCAGGCTCCTTTAGTGCTTTGCAGGCCATCATAAAATTTAATTCACCTCATCTCCTAGCTCATCACATACAACTTTTGTTGCACTGCATTTCTAGCAACAACAAAGAATTCATTTCTGCTGAGATCCCTGGTCATGTGGTTGATCAGGGCAACAAGCAGACGGACCCATCTGTGCAGTCAGTGGTATATGACTTTCACGTTTCATCTAGGGGTATTCCATTCTCAGACTATTTTGCTGTAATCTCTAGCCACCTTCACAACTGTTGGCAACAACGTTAGTCTGTGTTGATTCATAACAAATTCTAATCTGTCAAGTGATGTTTTAGGATTCTGGTCACGTCTTATCTTCACTGTCATGGTGGGAGACTACCTTTCTGTCTTCACACATGCACACCTCACTCATGGGTATCTCATGGAGAGGCGCCTAGTTCCACAGTGAAAATTGTCAGGTTCCAATTTTAATTTACTAGCAAGCATACAGAATTTACATCTGATGTCATCACTGCTGTAAACACCCTTACTGTATTCTTCACTCCTCGTTGACGGCCCCACCTTCAAAACACCGACTCTTTTCTTTGACTTTTGACAGCAACAAATTTTTACACAAACTTTGATTAGTACTTGCTTTAGCACTTCCACTTACCTTACTAACTCTAACCTCTGTTATACTTCCATCCTTGCTAGTCCTCTATAAAGTACAACAAAACCTTTAGCATGCCCTACCCTGCAGCATTGCGTATGACCCTTGTGGGTTTAGTGCTTAGTATATGAATTATAATCATAATACAAGCCTGGTCTGACAAATGACTCCTTGAAGCTTAACACTCACCAAGTGCAAAGTTATGAAGTTTAGGGAAAGACAAGAAGACCACAGATGGAGTACAGGCTCGCAGGGGGGTCAAGGACTGTCAAACCTCACTCGTGAAGAAGGATCAACATCCCGAGATGCATATCAACAAATAACTGGCTGCAAGCTTATGGGCATTACCGTAAGACATAGCATTGTTAACATTCATGTTAGGAGTCATCCATGCCACTGTACACCTGTATGTTCAGGCCCGTATTGAGGAGTACGCAGCACCATATAGAACCAACACCTGGTCAAGTACATCAAGAAAGTGTAGAGGTTTGCAATATGACTAGTCCCAGAGCTAAGAAGTATGTCCTATGAGGAGAGGTTAAGAGAACTCAACCTGACAGGAGTGCTGGGAGGTATAATCATGCTGTACAAAATAATGAGAAGAATTGACAAGGTGAACAGGTGCATAATGTTTCGAGCGATGAATACAGGAAAAGGGCACAGCTGGAAGTTGAAAACTCAGATGGGTCATAGGAATGTTAGGAAGTATTTCTTCAACCTTAGGGTTGTCAAGAAGTGGAACAATCTGGAGAGGGAAGTAATAGAGGCAGGATCCATACATAGCTTTAAGAAGAGGTCAATAATGAATGCTCTTGGAGCTGGGAAAAGAAATTGACCCTAGTGACCACACTGGGGTGGGGCCAGAAGTCTGTGACTCGACCCCTCAACCACATATAGTAAATACAGAAGGGAGGCGAGTACCACTCATTATGTAGCCCTCATTTGATAAAGCATGTCAAGATGCTGGAAAAAATGCAGAGGTTTACAACGAGAATAGTCCTGGAGCTAAGGGGTGTGTGTTATGAGCAGAGACTGAAGAAGCTCAATCTGATATCTAATATTACAGGACAGAAGGACTAGGGATGACATGATAACATGCATAATACTGATATCAAAGACAGGGGCAAACTGACTGACAGAGGCAGGAATCAGGTACACAAGGGCACAGGTGGAAGCTTAAAACATAGATGAGTCAGAGGAATGTTAGGAAATACTTTTTAGCTTGAGAGTTATCAGGAAATAGAATGACCTAGACAATTGGTTGGAGGGGCAGGATTCATACATAGTTTTAAGAGGCATGATAAAGGCTCACACAGCCAGGAGAATGAAACCCAGGAGCAGCCAGCAGTGGGGCCAGGAGCTGAGACTCAACCCCTACAATTACATGTGAGTATACACACACTAAATACTGATATTCATAATAAATCCAGAATTGCCAGTTTGCAGTCATTTTAAAATAAACAAATGGTCCAGTTCTTCATATTTCCATAAGTTTTAAACAGAATGGAATTATTCCTTGTACATCTCCTTTTAGGATGGTCACAGTGTATTTTTTAACTGAATACAGTACTAAGGAGTCTTGTGTTAATAAAAGTATACCCCAAGTGTGTGCTAACAGTTATTGTACACTGAATGGAGAGAGAGTAATGTGAAGTGCCCTTTGAAAAAGTTAATGCAATATTGTTAAATAGCCAGTGTATACAATGTTCACTTCATTTTCTGTTGCACTGATGCAGTGTAAGTCATAATTTGTGCAATTAATTTTTATATGTATAAACGTTTCTCTATTATGCTCTTCATTTTCAGACGAGCTGTTTTATGTGTTCAATTTTCTTTTTTCTTAAACATGTTTTTCTGTATCACACTAATTTTTTCAGTTTCCTAACTAAACCTCTACTTTCTTGACTTTAAATGTAGATCTGTCTCTCAATTACCTAAAAGAAATACCAAAATTTAAAAAAATTGTTGGTTTCAAGTCGATCATTTGAAAATGTTGGAAAAAAAAAAATTGGTTATATTGTTTCCTGTAAACTATTATATTTTGTCCATAGTTTATTAAAAGGTTAGTTTTTAAAAGTTAAAAAAAAAAAAAGAGCAAGGAAATTTGAAATAATTTAAACATCATATTTCATGTGAGAGTAAAAGCTTAAATATATTGTACTACCAATCTTATATAATGATAAAAACAGTTATCAAAATTTCCCTTGCAATATTGTACTTTGGAATAACAAAGAATATGTTTGGTTAGAGGGAATCCTCTGGATCTTTAGTAATTTACAAAAGTATGTATCTGCAAATAAAGGCAAAATATAATTTTTGTTAAAGATTTTTCTCCTAAAATACCCATACTTCACTCTTGATAATGCATAATACTCAGTATTTTCTAATGTAAATTTATAAATTTTATTCATGAAAACACAATAGTGTACAACAGAGCAAATATCAGAAACAAATGCTGTCATTATTTTTATTATAATCAAAAAGCACTGCTACAAATATTGTTAAATCCTTCAAGAGCAGCTGGGAAAGTCTTAATACCAGCAAAGTACTTAGTCTAAGGAATTGGAGTTATCTTTTCCTTTGTATAATCCTCCGGGTTTAGCGCTTCCCCCTTGATTATAATAATAATAATTTTCCTTTTGGATCATACCTGATAACCTTCCATTCTCAGGTACTGTATGGCCCCTATGGATTTAGCACTTCCCCAAAAATATAATGGTGACTGGTCTTGTAAATAATTAAAAGAAGTAAATGCTAGGGTTTTAGGGAAGATGTGGGTCTAAAACATAAAGAATCTAACACACAGTGAAAGTTGTTACATTTGCTTTTTTCTGATGACACAGTGCTTTTGGGAGATACTGAAGAGAAGTCGCAAAAGGTTGGTGGACAAATCTGGGAGGGAATGGAAAAAAGAAAATTATAGGTAAACAGGAAAGAGCAAGGTGATGAGTGACAATAAATTTACGTAATGAAAGATTGGATGTCAGACTGGAAGAAGTGAATGCATTCAGATATTTGTGAGTGAACTTTTCAATGAATGGGCCTATGAAAGATGAGGTGAACCACAGAGGCATAAAAAGGGGGTTGATGCACCGAGGCATCTGTGGAAACAATGAATGTTATCTATGGAGGCAAAAATAGAAATGTATCAAAGTACAATAACATTCTATATGGGTGAGAGTATGAGTTTTAAAATATTACAGCAAGGAGACTGAGTGAACGAAGTCTGAGGGCAATGTTCGTGTGAATATTATGCATTTAAAAAAAAAAAATCAATAGTTTGGAGATTTGGGAGGGTCAGAGTTACTAACAGGCCAAGGAGGGGTATTAAGGTGGTTTGGACTTAGAAAAGAATGGCGTAAAATAAGACGAGTTGAGGGTGGTATAAACTGTATGGAGGGAGGAGTCGAGATAACCTTAGGAAAGGTTAGAAGGATGGATTAAAGGTTTATATGCAAGGGATTTGGACAATCCAACAGGCATGTGGCAAGAGTATAGGAGTGGAGGCCATTGGTTTTTATGACGATGTGCTGGCGGAGTCTGAGCAAAGTAACATTATGAAGAATTGAGGGAATCTGGTTAACTGGAGTTGGCATACAGTTGCCTGCACTCTGAAAGGGAGGGTAGGGTTATTGCAGTTTGGAGGGTCTCCGACTGTAATGTCGGTGTGCCTCTGGCAAGACATGAGGGAGTGAGTGGGTGGTGGCGAAAGTGCTGGTTCTCTTCGGGTCCACTCTACTTGTAGGTGATTGCCCGTTGTGTAAAAAAGAATACTAATGTAATCATTCAGAAGAAATGAACTGGGTTTGGTCTTTTTAAGAAATGCTCATATGGACAGATACCTTAAAAAAAATACTGGTCTTAAAAAAAGGAAACATTTCATTTAATCCCATTATGACCTGAGTCTTGTTAACCCTTTACCAGGGTCCAAGGCCAAAATCTGAAGGGGGTGGCCCCAGTGTCCAAAAATTTGAAAAAAGAAAAAAATTATTTTTTTTATTACAGAAATTAAAGATAATATTTTTTGTGAAGGTAATAAAACAAAAAAAAAAAATTCCTGATCAATACTTACCCGAGAGACAGTGGCAGGAAGTTGACACCAAAATGACCGAGTGCAGCAACATCAGCGTATTCCCAAAATCGCATTTTTTTTATTTTACGTTTTTTTTATCTTTTTCTTTTCTTCCTAATTTATTTTCTTTTTCTAGTTAAACATTTGTGGTCGTGAGACCAATTTAAATGTATAATGTAATAAGTGTACACTCATTGTATTCAACACAATAACTGCACTATTTGTTTATCATTATATTACTTACAAAACTTTTTACAAGTTTATTGTAAACAAAATGATGAAAAATATTAGTGCGGTATTGTGTGAATACAATGGTACCATATAGTACTATTTGGTACAATGGTGGCCATAGGCCTGCAATGGTACCATATGAAACAATGGTATCATATGGTGCAATGGTACTTTATGGTACCATATAGTAAATAGTACCATATGGAGCAATGGTACCACTGTTACAAATATACCATATGGTTCATTGTACCATATGGTACATTGTACCATAAGGTACTGTTGTAGTCAGCACAATAAACCACTAATATTTTCATCATTTATTTCGTTACAATAATTGTTTACAACAAAATAAAGCAAAAATGTTTGTATATTAGTAATGTTCTATATACAAATTTACAAATGTACAGCCACTCGACATGTTTCTTGAGGTGGATGACAAAGCGCACTTGTCTTGGGGAAACTGCGCGTCATCACTCACTATCAGTCTAGCCTGGGTGGCAGCAACAGCGTAACTGCCCATAATGGTAACATGGTATTATATGTTACAGGGTACCATATGGTACATTGTACTATATGGTATAGGGTAATAACAGTACAGGATACCATATGGTGCGGGTACCATATAGTGCAGGTACCAGATGGTGCAGGTACCATATGGTACAGGACACAATTATGATACAGACACACAGGGATCCCCCTATGGAAATAAGTCACCCTGACTTTTTTGCAGTTATCCTAGGATTTTATACATATGCTGGTATGTAAGATTAATGTATGTAACTGTATTTGTGTACACCTGAATAAACTTACTCAAGCACAATGTTGCATCATAAGTTTATTTATGTAACACAAAATAAAGTTACATAGATTACATACATAGCAGCATATTGTGTGGAGAACCAAAAAAGTCAGACAGACTTATTTCCATTAGGGTCCCTGTACCATAGGGTACAATTACAATTTAATGGTACAATGGACATATGGTCAATGTACAATTAATACCATATGACAATTGTACTATATGGTATAATGGACCATATGATTATGTACCATATGATACAATGTACTAAGGTACATTGTACCATGTGTTACCATGGTACCATATGATAACCATATGTATGACATGTCACCATTGTACCCTAATGGGTTCAAAACCATGGATTCCCTTCAGATCCACGACCATCAGTCTTAGAACTGTAAGTTGTGAAGAGGAGAGTCAAAAGAAATCGCCAGAAGTGAGTGGGGGAGTGAGAGCTTCTTGCTGCCAAGGCATGAAAACAAAGCGAAAGCACTTTGGCGGCATTCCCACAATGCCATGCAAGGCAATCCAGATTTTTTCTATAGTGCACTCACCACGACCACCCAGGCCCTTCTCCCCTCAGATGGAGGCCTCCAGCCTTCTAGCGCTATTTGACACCAGCTAGAATTTGGCGTAGATCTACAAGTCTGGACCCTCAAACATAAAGCCGTAGAACTATGGCATGGACCCGAAAGGGTTCATGGATCAAGAGGATTGGCAGCCTAGTCTCGGCAAAGGCTTGACCCGTTCTGTCTACATACCTAGCTCCACGTCCCCCAAATTATGAGGAAACAAATAAACTTTTTTTAACCTCTTTACATTCAACCTTAGTGGACAGTACATAGATTTAATTATATAATCATGGAACAAGTAAACCCATCTGATCATACAGCACGTGTGAGGGGGAAATGGAAGGTATTCCAAGCTCATTCAGGGACCAGAGTCACAGATCCAATTTCCTAGAACAAGACCCCTCACAACTTCAAGGAACCCTCCCTTGAGGGTGGTAGGGTTGGAGTAACACACATTCAAGCAGTTCTAACAACAAACTGTGAAGTTTCCCTATCTAGAAATTAAAAAATGCATATAATTTTATATGCAGAATCCTGCAAGTTGTTTATAATCTGCAATTTGACCTTCGACCAGTTCCATCAGTTTTTCTTACTCTCTCAACCCAACTTCCCTGTTTGATTTTCTATTGGTTGACTCAATGGCTCACATCTATCAGATCTAAGCGATTCTGGCACATGGTACTGATATTGACTTCAGACATCCTCTTGAATACTTCCACACTTATTCTGGCCATATTCTGAATATCCAGTGGCAGCTGGCTGAACAGACAGGTTAATGGTTGTTGACACTGTTTCTCTTTATGTGCCCATGGCTTCCCCAGTTATTACTGGCCAACATATACTACATTTCTTCCGTGTCTTGCTTCAGTTCAGTAATTATTAATGCAGTGGTGCAAGTTTAGACTCCCTCTCAAATTGGATTTTTTCTCTCTAACCTAAGAGGGAGGTGTCAATTTCTAACATTTTACCATCTCCATTCTTATACAAGTTTGAGGAAGATGTTACTAAATACAGTAACATACAAGTGTAAAAAAAAAAAAGAATATCACGGAATACATATAGAGCAATGGTGTATAATTGTCTCTATTGCATACGAATAAAAGAAATATTTACCAGTTTTAATGCTGTGACCACTGAATCTTTTAGATCTATTCCCTTCTTGGACCATTTCCCACAAGATGGCTTGAAAGGCAAAAAAAATTAATAAGCTAGAATGACTAGACACATTCGCTACTGCTTTAAGGGAAGTATATGACGTCTTGTACAGTTATACAAATTTTTTGTTATTAAAACAATCTTAAAAGGCCACTCTTAACCCTCATTCTCCTATTATTTTGCCCTTTCTCTGCCCTCCCTCTGTCCTATTACTTACTGCAATACTTAAAGATTTCATTAGCTGATGTACAATCAGAGGTAATGGAATATGCCAAAAACAAGTAGCCAGCATTTTGTTCCCACTATGTAACATTATAATGAGGCGAGTTATCCAACACACACTACTAATATATCTGATTTTTTTTTACTAGAGAAAAAATACCAACACATTGAAGTAAATGTAGATTACAGTAAATTAACAATTATACCAACATACTTTTAGTGAACTGAAGAAAACAAGACAACATCAGCTGGGTCAAATAATTTGGAAACGACAGATGCAGTCAACAGATTGAGTTCTTGTACGAAAACAAAACAATCTCATCTCTATTCAACATACACAGCCATTATCCCTTTCAGGTTTGGGACAGGCCCTCTCAGTGATTTGTTCTCAGGGTCGCCAAATTTCAAAAAAAAAAAAAAAAAAAAATTCTTCTTATGAAAAGATAGAGAATCTTTTCCCGAACCATAATGAACACCAAAAATATGAAATTTGAGGATAAACTTACGGATTATGCGTCGGGAAGTTAGCGGTGCTCGACGATGTTTACACCCGCATCGGCGATTGCCAACATTGAGCCCTAATTTTTTCGCCAATTCCAGTGTACCTTGTGACAAAAATTCATAACTATTTTCACTAGAACTTACCTCCATTTTTCTTATTGAATGAGTACAAGAAACCACCCATTGACTGATTCGACTATCCAATACAGTGGTCAGAATTTAGCAATTTTGCCAATTTTCCACACAAATTTTCAAAAGATGCCAATTTCCGAATAGGGTCCCAAAATAAACAAGATAGACATCCCTGGCACTAAAATAACACTTCTCTGTTCAGTAGTTCATTCCCCATGCCCCCTCTACAATTCTTTGCTTTCCACTGTTATGCAGTCTACTGCATTGGTGTAAAATGGTTTAAAATATTATCAGCGTCACTTGGGGGGGTGAAAGAATATTAGACTCACCAGTTGACGTGTATTGGGACGCATAGCATGATTTGTTTACTTTTGAACTTTGGTAAAAAAATTGAACATTTTCCTGCTGACTTTGAGCGCAATTTCCAAGGTACTTTTCATTGTAACAACCAGTCAAAATCATCCTCAATTTCTGTAACATGTCTTCAATTCTAAAAATGAACCAGGAAGACTAGAATACAACAATAAATACCCTACGAAAATACAGGCAAAGTCCGCTGGTTTTAATCAAAATCACGTCAAAATTTTTTTTTTTTTCTCATTATGCACTGTGTGCTGCAGGATTTTTTTATGCCGCAACACACACTGACCCATTCTTTCATATGTAGGTCCTACCGCTTTCCTCCTAGAATTTGAGGCGCTAGAATTTAGGCGTACTAGTACGTCCAAAAACCGCTGGTGTGTAAGCCGTACTAGTACAGCTGAAACCCGAAAGGGTTAATGCCACTCCACTTTATTCTATTACTCTCCTTTAACCCTTAATCTACGCATTCATCAATATGACATAATAAACAATATATATAACATAGAAACCTGATATATACTCTAAAATGAATAAAATATGTCATTCATGTAGTGGTATCGTCAGCGGAAAAACGAGAGTTTGTCAGAGACTGACACAATACTTTCTTTGAATAATTTTGCTAAATATTCATCTATACAGCTTATTTATCTTCACAGTTCATCTAAAATGACATAAATAAATCATATAAATAACCTGACATATACTCGAGAATGAATAAAATACGTCATTATGTAACAGGTGGAGCTGCCACAAGTGCTCCTCTTGTTGTGGTAAACACTGCCATCTAGTGATGGCCCTTATGAAGCCATCTATTATTATAATTATTATTATATATACATATTATCCTAGGTAGTAAGTTGGTACAAAAGCAACCGCCCAGGAGGTACTTCCGTCCTGCCAAGTGAATGTAAAATGAAAGCCTGTAATTGTTTTACATGAATGTAGGATTGCTGGTGGGGTTTTTTCTGTTTCATTAAACATGCAAGATTTTAGGTACGTCCTTCTACTTCTCCTCTTACACCTTAGGTCACACTACAACACTTACAGTACAAGCAAATAGTAACATACACATCCCTCTGGGTTTTCTTCTATTATTTCTTAATAGTTCTTGTTCTTGTTTATTTCCTCTTACCTCCATGGGGAAGTGGAACGAATTTTTCCTCCGTAAGTCATGCATGTGTACAGGCGAACTAAAATCCAGGAGCAAGGGGCTAGTACCCCTTCTCTCCTGATTATTACTAAATGTAAAAGGAGAAACTTTCGTTTTTCCCTTTTGGGCCACCCCACCTCGGTGGGATAACTGCCCGATGTGTTGAAAGAAAGAAAGTGTACATTATATATAATATATATATTTCTTTTTCACAAACCCGGAACGGCCGCATACCAGCCGGGGGGGTCGCCGAAAGCAGGGTGGCCCAAAAAGAAAACGAAAGTTTCTCTTTTAAATTAGTAATTTATACAGGAGAAAGGGGTTACTACCCCTTGCCTCCTGGCCATTTTAGTGGCCTCTTACAACATGCTTAGCTTACGGAGGAAGAATTCTCTTCCACTCCCATGGAGATTTAGAGGAAATTAACAAGAACAGAACTTAGTAAGATAATAGAAGAAAACCCAGAGGGGTTATATATATGCTTGTACATATATGCGTAGTGTGACCTGAGTGTAAGTATGAAGAAGCAAGATGTAACCTGAAACCTGCATGTTCATGAGACAGAAAAATGGGCACCAGCAATCCTTACCATCATTTAAAAATTACAGACCATTCCCACCGCTTTTCGTATAACACTCCACTGGGCAGACGGTAGTACCTCCCTGGGTGGTGATGTCTACCAACCTACTACCTATACATTATATATATGTATTATTATTACAGTAGAAGCCCACTTATAAGGCAGGTTAGGTTTCCAGCTACTGCAGTAAAGCGGAAATCGCCGTAAAGTGACACCCTTTTGTCCCCTTATAAATGCATATAAATATGAGATAACAAGTTTACACTAACATATATTTAATTAGCAATAGAACTAGCATCAAAAAACAATAAAAAAGTACAATACACACATGGTCACCTCATTACTTCCTTAAAATATTTATAGTCGTAATCTATAGGGTGAGACAGTAGTATTTTATAGGTAAGAAATCAAGTGTGGTATGTATGGAAGTCAGCCAGGCTACCATACCAGGCCACCCCACCTAGACGTAATATTCTATTACATTTAAGCATCCCAGGCGATAAAAATGCATATACAATTTACTCATTATTACCTTAAAATATTTGTAGTCTAATCTAGGGTAATATAGTATATATTGTAAAAAAATCAAGTGTGGTATGGTAGTCAGCCAGCTACCATACTGCCAGTCCACCCACACATTATACAGCCAGGGCCCCGCTTTAACGGCGTTCGCTTTAACCGGCATTCCGCTAAATACGAAATTTTCAAATTATTACCAAAACTCGCTATAAAAACGGCTCCCCCCACCTGTCTTTCTAATACGTCACCAGGGCCCACCAGTTTGTTTACATTCTCCCTTAGCACATCTCCCCTTTTTTATTATGTCTGGAAACATTCCAAATTTCAAGTGTTTTAAAGTTATGTATATTTTATATGTATTGAACTTGACTAATTAAACTTGTGTACACCTGTACCTAATAAACTTACCACTGTGCTGGCATTGTAGGCACAAACATTAAAATCACTAAGAGTCTCTTCTAACTCTTGAAGCAATAATAATAATAATAATAATAATAATAATAGTAAATAATATAATCTCTTGGGCGCATAATGTTGCATATTACGTTATATAGACATTCCCTTAATCTATGATATTTTTTTCAAATTATATAAGAAACACATTATTAACACACAAACATGATTCATGCACCACCAGTAAAAAATTTATACAAATATATATAGATTGTTTACCAAACGTTGGTAGAAGTGTCGGAAGAATAACGTTTCTCTAGCCCGACACCGTGTTTACAGGGATAACTGTAGAAAAATATATTCCTTTCGTATGCTTCACTTTATAGCTATAATTTCTGTCTAACTTGTACACAGTGTAAGAAGTATGTTTCGTGACTTAATTATTATAATAATAATAAAAATATTATAAGGTAAAAGTTTCACAAACTCCTTACAAATGTACATGAAAGAACTAAAACTGGACACGTATTAATACCGTCTATTTCGCCCTTGATACCGAGTGATCGTCCACAACCTGGTCATGTTTGTTTGTTTACGCTGTCCTGAGCGCGTGTATCATTAAATGTTTGTGTATTACGTTAATATACACATTTCATTAATCAATCCGGGATATTTTTTCAAAATTATATAATAAACACGATACATAACAAATACATAACATATTGTAGAGAACCTAGGATAACCCAAAAAATCAGAGGACTTCTTCATTGCCTTCACTCAGTAGCATCATTTCTTCTCAAAATGATGTTACATGAGAATGGGAGTGTCTTCTTTATTTATTCTAACCGTATCAATGTAGAGACAACCGTACACAATGTAAACTGTTACACAACCAACGTGTACACTGTTTACAAAACTTACCTTCGCCTGGTTTGTTTACATTAACTCTCTCTCTGAGCCTGTCCTCTCTCTGCACTCATTCTTTCTCTCTGGTATGGTAGCCTGGCTTGACTACCATACATACCACACTTGATTTTTTTACAAAAATACTACTCATCCTCACCCTATATTTTTAAGGTAAGTAATGAGTGAACTGTATATACATTTTTATTTACGCTCTGGGGATGCTTAAATATCATAGAATAGTATGTTGGGTGGGGGCGTGGCCTGGAATGGTAGCCTGGCTGACTACCATACATACCACACTTGGATTTCTTTTACAATAAATACACTGTCTCCCCCTAGAGTAAGACTAAAATATTTTAAGGTAAGTAATGAGTGCACAATGTGGTGTATTGTACTTTTTATATTTTTTTGATGCCTGGTTCTATTGCTAACAAAATATTATGTTAGTGTACACTTGTTATCTAGTGTGTATGCATTTGTAATGGAAAAAAAGGTGTTCCACTTTACGGCGGTTTCGCTTTAAAAAACGGCGGTAGCCTGGAACCTAACCCCGCCGGTATAAGTGGGGCCCTCCTGTATTCTATGCTATTTAAGCATCCCATGTAGGTCAGGGGTGAGTAACCGCGAATAAAATTAATAAATGGAGAGAGAGAGAGAAGAGTACACGAGGGAGGACAGGCGCAGAGTTATGTAAACAAACCAGGGTGAACCCAAGTTTTGTAAACAAGTGGTATCAGTCTGGTTTGTGTGCAAGTTACATGTGTACAATTTTGTCTCTACACTGATATGGTAGAATAAATAAAGAACACCACACCATTCTCCATGTACACAATTTTTAGAAGAAATGACGCTCTGAGTGAAGCATTGGAAGTATCGTCACATCCGACTTTTTAGTTATCCTAGGTTCGCTACACATATGCTGTTATGTAAGATAATCTATGTAACTGTATTTGTGTATACCTGAATAAACCCCCCCCCTTTTACTTACTACATACGAAAGGAATACTTTTCTACAGTTAACCCCCAGGTAACCGCTACTTTTCTCTTATGTTAGACTAGAGAACATGTTATTCTTGCCGTCACTTGTACAGTTATCTGGTTAACAACATCTCATATTTATGTTAATTTTATCTACTGTTGGGGTGTATTTATCAATCTTTATATGTTATAACATCGTGATTTGAATTATATAATTTTTGAAGAAAATATCATAGATGGATTAATGAAAAGAGTATATTAACGTAATATACGACATTTAAATGAGACTCGGTGATTATTATCATTACTAATATGACGTCTAGAGAAGTAAGACACTCTTCCTGATTTTAATGTGTACCTGCATGCCAGCACAGTATGTAAGTTTATTTAGGTACAGGTATATATAAGTATAATTATCAGAGTATATATAAAATATGAAATAACTTTTAAAAACACTTGAAATTTTGGAGTCTCCAGACATAATGGAGAGACTTAGTGCTTACAGATCTCACGGAGAATGTAAACAAACTGGGTGGGGCACGGTGACCGTATCAGAAAGTCAGGTGGGGCGAGCCATATAGCGAGTTTTGGCCATAATTTGAAATGACCGTATTAGCGAAATGCCGTAAAGCGAAACGCTGTAAAGCGGGGCCCTACTGTATATGTATTATATCATTATTATTATATTATTATACTATTATTATTATACGTATAATTCTTTCTTTCAACACACCGGCCATATCCCACCGAGGCGGGGTGGCCCAAAAGGAAAAACTAAAGTTTCTCCTTTTACATTTAGTAATATATACAGGAGAAGAGGTTACAAGCTCCTTGCTCCCGGCATTTTAGTCGCCTCTTACAACACGCGTGGCTAACGGAGGAAGAATTCTGTTCCACTTCCCCATGGAGATAAGAGGAAATAAACAAGAATAAGAACTAGAAAGAAAATAGAAGAAAACCCAAAGGGGTGTGTGTATATATGTGCTTGTACATGTATGTGTAGTGTGACCTAAGTGTAAGTAGAAGTAGCAAGACATACCTGAAATCTTGCATGTTCATGAGACAGAAAAAAGGACACCAGCAATCCTACCATCATGTAAAACAATCACAAGCTTTCGTTTTACATTCACTTGGCAGGACGGTAGTACCTCCCTGGGCAGTTGCTGTCTACCAACCTACTACCTAGGTATACGTATAATTATTCTTTCTTTCAACACACCGGCCGTATCCCACCGAGGCGGGATGGCCCAAAAGGAAAAACTAAAGTTTCTCCTTTTACATTTAGTAATATATACAGGAGAAGAGGTTACTAGCTCCTTGCCCCCGGCATTTTAGTCGCCTCTTACAACACGCATGGCTTATGGAGGAAGAATTCTGTTCCACTTCCCCATGGAGATAAGAGGAAATAAACAAGAATAAGAACTAGAAAGAAAATAGAAGAAAACCCAGAGGGGTGTGTATATATGTGCTTGTACATGTATGTGTAGTGTGACCTAAGTGTAAGTAGAAGTAGCAAGACATACCTGAAATCTTGCATGTTCATGAGACAGAAAAAAGGACACCAGCAATCCTACCATCATGTAAAACAATCACAAGCTTTCGTTTTACATTCACTTGGCAGGACGGTAGTACCTCCCTGGGCAGTTGCTGTCTACCAACCTACTACCTAGGTATACGTATAATTATTATTATATATTATTATTATTATTATTCCTAGGTAGTAGATTGGTAGACAGCAACCGCCCAGGGAGGTACACCGTCCTGCCAAGTAGTGTAAAACGAAAGCCTGTAATTGTTTTACATGATGGTAGGATTGCTGGTGTCCTTTTTTCTGTCTCATGAACATGCAAGTTTTCAGTACGTCTTGCTACTTACTACTTACACTTAGGTCCCACTACACCATACATGTACAAGCACATATATACAAAACCCCTCATGGTTTCTTCTATTTTCTTTCTAGTTCTTATTCTTGTTTATTTCCTCTTATACTCCATGTGGAAGTGAACAGAATTCTTCCTCCGTAAGCCATGCGTGTTGTAAGAGGCGACTAAAATGCCGGGAGCAAGGGGCTATAACCTCTTCTCCTGTTATTTTTACTAAATGTAAAGGAGAACTTCGGTTTTCCTTTGGGGCCACCCCCCCTCGTGGATACGCCGTGTGTTGAAAGAAAGAAGAAATTATTATTATTACAATATAAATAATTTGTAATTTTTATTCACACAAAAAATAGAAGATTTACTGTTATGCAGACTACTGCCTTATTGCAATAATTATAAAAATAATGTCAACCCATTCACAACTGCATATTGGAATGGACAGTAATGTCATTTGTTTACTCTTGAACATAGCCAAAGAACTGAACATTTCTCCTACTTTGAGCTCAATTTCAAGGTACTTTTTGTCATGAAAGCAATCAAAATCACATCTATTTCTGTAATGTATCTTCCATTCTATCAAATGAGACCAAAAAAATGAGAATACAACCATAAAAACCATACGAAAATACCACTAAGGGGTGGCTAATTGCTGAGAAGTGAACTCCATTATTTATGCTCCGATTTCTTTTATTTTTGGTGTACATTAAGAAGCATCTTTTCATCATACATTGCCCAAGTTTCAATAAGATAGTCCAACAAACAAATGAGATCCAATTCCCTTGATCAAGAGCAAGAGCCCCTCATCAGTTTCAAGGAACCTTCCTTGAGGTCCGCTCGCTTGGGGAAATTTCGCTCGCTTATAGAAGCAAAAAATCGACCCATCGACTGCTTGTATTTGGAAAAACTTGCATGTGGATGCGCTTGCAAGTAGAGGTTCCACTGTATATCTTTTATTTGGAACTTATAATAAATTAAATTATGAATATAAATTTTGAATTAGGACTGATTTCCAGAATATCATTGTACAAATTTTATTTTGAAAAATCTCTTAATTTGGAATATTCTTAAATGAAGAATTCTCAATATTTTGTATTTTTCTGAATAAAAGAATAGGCAACCTTATAAATAAAAGAACATAACTTTCTCTTACCTCATCTCTCTCAAGCGAGTAACATGCTCCACACATTTATCAGCTGTATATTTTACTTCCTCCTCTGTAGTAAATCTACCAATACCAAAGCGGATAGAAGAATGAGCTAAATCTTCCTCAGCACCAATGGCACGCAACACATAGGAAGGTTCAAGAGATGCACTGGTGCAAGCTGACCCTGATGACAAAGCTACATCCTTCAAGGCCATCAATAAACTCTCACCTGTTTTAATCATATTTTGTCAGTATTAATTTTCCTGTATGAAATTATGACAGTATGAATATAATCATAAGGAAGCACTAAATCTGCAAGAACCAAACAAAATAGAACATCAGGTTTGATCTGGGTAAAGGGAGAGTATCTTCAATTCCTTGGATAAACAGCCCTTCACCAGCTTCATGGTACCCCCCTCCCCCATCCTTAACTTAAGTGGACACTGTATTGAGATTAAAATCAGCAAGAAAATTTGAATGAATCCTCACCTTCAACAAATGCAAAAGAGAGATTAATACATCCAGGGTAAGCGTATAGAGGGTCACCATTCCTTACAATATGTTTCATTCTTGACGTGATTGATTCGACTAACATGTCTGACAACTTGGTTATCCAAGCATGATCATATTCCATTTCACTCATAGCAATTTCACAGGCAGCACCCAGGCCCACCACCAAGGGAGTAGGTACAGTTCCTGACCTGAAAATTAATATGTAATGCACAGCCAAAAATATATAAATTAGAAAGCAGTTATGTAAAGTTTTCACCACAATTAAAAATACATTTTAAACTGAAGAACACTTTTCTGAGCAAGGTTTCATAAATCACTAGTGGAATAGCAACCTGTTGGTAAACCTTTTATAACACCATTTTCCTCTCTCCAGTACACTCATGTTTCCATGTTGTCTGCACTCCCAGCTGAGTGGACTTGCCACCATTCGAGTATATCCTGAGAAAAAACAGCTAATAATTTTGTTTTGTATCTAGAATTGTTATCTTTCCCACTTACTTAACCCTCTGACTGTTTTGGTCGTATATATACATCTTACGAGCCACCATTTTTGATGTATATTCAAAAATTCTAGCGGTTTCAAATCAAGCAGGAGAAAGCTGGTAGGCCCACATGTGAGAGAATGGGTCTGTGTGGTCAGTGTGTACCATATAAAAAAAATCCTGCAGCACGCAGTGCATGAGAAAAAAAAAACTCCGACCATGTTTTTGGATTAAAACGCCGACTTTGTGGTGTATTTTCATATAGTATTTATGGCTGTATTCTTGTTTTCTTGGTTTCATTTGATAGAATGGAAAATATGTTATAGAAACAGAGGTGATTTTGATTGGTTTTCCCATGAAAAGAACCTTGAAATGGAGCTCAAAGTAGGGGAAATGTTTGATTTTTGCCGATGTTCAAAAGTAAACAAATGATTCATTGTCCAATAAATGTCCAACTTGCCATTCTAATATGCAGTCATGAATGGGTTGACATTATTTATACAATCATTACAATATTGCAGTAGTCTGCATAACAGTAAAGCTTCTATTTTTTGTTTGAATAAAAATTCAAAATAGAAAGCATGAGTAATATCAGAGGGGCCTGGAGACGTGACTGATGAACAAAGAAAATGTTATTTTAGAGCCAGGAATGTCTGCACTGTTCATTCTGGACCCTATTTTGAAATTGTCATATTTTTTAATTTGTGTGAAATTGGCCAAATTGCAAATTTCTGACGACGTTATTGGGTAGTTGAAATCGGTAAATGGGCAGTTTCTTGTACTTAATCAGTAGAACAAATGGAGTTCTAAAGAAATGGATATGAGTTTGGTTGACTGGAACAATGGAATTAGCCAAAAATGGGGCTCAAAGTGGGCGAAATCGCTGATTCGTAAACATCGCCGAGGTCGCTAACTTCGCAAGAGCGTAATTCCATCAGTTTTCCATCAAATTTCGTTCTTTTGGTGTCATTACAATTGGGAAAAGATTATCATTTCATAAGAAAAAATAATTTTTTTTTTCTTGAAATTTTGCAACACCAGGAGACACCTCAGGATTTGGGATTGTGACAGTCAAGGGGTTAAAGTGCAGGCATTGTACTTCCCATTTCCAGTACTCAAGTCTGGCTATATAAAAATAACCAGTTTCCCTGAATCCCTTCACTAAATATTACCCTGTTCACACTCCAACAGCTCGTCAGGTCCCAAATACCATTCGTCTCCATTCGCTCCTAACATGCTCACACATGCTTGCTGGAAGTCCAAGCCCCTCACCCACAAAACCTCCTTTACCCCCTCCCTCCAACCTTTTCGAGGACGACCCCTACCCCGCCTTCCTTCCCCTACAGATTTATACGCTCTCCATGTCATTCTACTTTGATCCATTCTCTCTAAATGACCAAACCACCTCAACAACCCCTCTGACTAATACTTTTATTAACTCCACACCTTCTCCTAATTTCCACACTCCAAATTCTCTGCATAATATTTACACCACACATTGCCTTAGACAGGACATCTCCACCACCTCCAACTGCCTCCTCACTGCAGCATTTACAACCCAAGCTTCACACCCATATAAGTGTGTTGGTACCACTATACTTTCATACATTCCCTTCTTTGCCCCATAGAAAATGTTTTTTGTCTCCACATATACCTCAATGCACCACTCACCTCTTTTCCTTTGTCAGTTCTATGGTTAGCCTCATTCTTCATACATCCATCTGCTGACATGTCAACTCCCAAATATCTGAAAACATTCACTTCTTCCATACTCCTCCTCTCCAATCTGATATTCAATTTTTCTTTATCTAAATCATTTGATACCCTCATCACCTTACTCTTTCCTATGTTCACTTTCAACTTTCTACCTCTACACACTCTCCCAAACTCGTCCACTAACCTTTGCAACTTTTCTTTAGAATCTCCCATAAGCACAGTATCATCAGCAAAAAATAGCTGTGTCAGTTCCCATTTTGTATTTGATTCCCCATAATTTAATCCCACCCCTCTCCCCGACACCCTAGCATTTACTTCTTTTACAACCCCATCTATAAATATATTAAACAACCATGGTGACATTACACATCCCTGTCTAAGACCCACCTTTACCGGGAAGTAGTCTCCCTCTCTTCTACACACCCTAACCTGAGCCTCACTATCCTCATAAAAGCTCTTTACAGCATTTAATAACTTACTACCTATTCCATATACTTGCAACATCTGCCACACTGCTCCCCTATCCACTCTATCATATGCCTTTTCTAAATCCATAAATGCAATGAAAACTTCCCTACCTTTATCTAAATGCTGTTCATATATATGCTTCAATGTAAACACTTGATCTACACATCCCCTACCCGCTCTAAAACCTCCTTGCTCATCCTCAATCCTACATTCTGTTTTGCCTCTAATTCTTTCAATATTAACCCTACCATACACTTTTCCTGGTATACTCAGTAAACTTATTCCTCTATAATTTTTACAATCTCTTTTGTCCCCCTTCTCTTTATATAAAGGAATTATACATGCTCTCTGCCAATCCCTAGGCACTATATCCACCCCTGCTTTTAACATTTCTGTCATGATCCCGTCAGTTCCAGCTGCTTTACCCCCTTTCATTCTACATAATGCCTCACGTACCTCCCCCACTCTCACATCTTGCTGTTCTTCACTCCTAAAAGATGGTATACCTCCCTGGCCAGTGCATGAAATTACCGCCTCCCTTCATTGATATTTTAAACGTTCCTCAAAATATTTCCACCATCTACCCAATACCTCCATCTCCCCATCTACTAATTCCCCTACTCTGTTTTTAACTGACAAATACATTCGTTCCCTAGGCTCTTAACTTGTTTATCTCACTCCAAAATTCTTTCTTATTTTCATTAAAATTCCTTGACAGTACCTCTCCCACTCAATCATCTGCTCCCCTTCTACACTCTCTCACCACTCTCTTCACCTTTCTTTTACTCTCCCTATACTCTACTCTTCTTATAACACTTCTACTTTGTAAAAACCTCTCATAAGCTACCTTTTTCTCTTTTATTCACACCCTTTACTTCATCATTTCCACCAATCACTCCTCTTTCCTCCTGCACCCACCCTCCTATAGCCACAAACTTCTGCTCCACATTCTAATACTGCATTTTTAAAACTATTCCAACCCTCTTCAACCCCTCCCTCCCCCACTACTCATACTTGTACTAGCCCACCTTTCTGCCAATAGTTGCTGATATTGCACCCAAACTTCTTCCTCCTTTTTTTTTTTTTTTTTTTTTAACACAGGGTTTGACAAGGTTAAGGATCCCTAGTTTTATTGACAAGATATTTACAGGTTAAGGATTCCTAACTTTATTGACAAGCTAAGAGCTGTTACCTACATCAGCTCATTTGAAAGCATTTTTATTGTTATGAGACATACAAGTAGGGAACAGGATGAAGTTGGAGCCATCTGTGGGCCAGCATTTTCATTTGATCAACTGACGTTATCTCGTTGACATCATTATGCTGTACGAATGTGTTCCATACTCGAGTCATCCTGGGTATATATGATCTCAGATGGAGTGATGTTCTGGAGAAGGGTACAGCCAGAGTGAAGTTGCTGCTTTCTGCCCGTCTTGTGGCACAAAAGCTTGTTTCATGCTGTCCTCGAAGTGGATCCATGTTGTGGTACTTTGACAATATTGGCCTTGTACATAACAGTAAGGCCACCCACATCCCTCCTGTGTTGAAGGCTCTGCTGAAATGACAGATCTATCCAGGATGGGTCCAGGCGAGAGATGAGACGTCTTGCTCTGTTCTCCACTCTGTCAAGCATGTTGCAGATGAGAGGGGGGGGCAGGCAAACCAAAAAAGTGGAGCATACTCAAGGTGTGAGCGTACTTGTGCCTTGTACAGAATCTTGCAACCTCTACTGTCAAGCAGATGCGAGATATGGCGAAGTGCTGTAAGCTTCCTGGCTGCCTTGTTTGCTAGATTTACAACATGGTTCTTCATGGTTAGTTTGGAGTCAAATTTCACCCCAAGAATATCAACTTCTTCTCCAGGTGCCAACACCCTCCTATTCATCCTTACTACTGCACCAGCATTACCATCATGGTGCCTAGAGATGATCATCATTTGCATTTTCTCAGGTGCAAATGTTACTTGCCATCTATTTCCCCAAGCTGATATAGCTCTTAGCTGGTGATTGATGTAGCTTAGAGCAGCTGGCATTTCTTCTCTTGGATAAGTGAATGTCAGTGTACAGTCATCTGCATATGCATGTGATTCTTGGATAAGATGAAGAAGGTCGTTGAAGTAGACATTCCATAACAATGGTCCCAGCACGCTTCCTTGTGGAACACTTTCCCCAATAGGATGTCTTGCTGATTCCGTTCCATTGAGAACTACACTTAGAGATCTACCATGAAGGTAATCACTGAGGAGACATAGCGTAGAGCCTGCAATTCCCAGTGCTTGAAGTTTTGCTAAGAGGCCCTGGTGCCACACCCGGTTGAAAGCACCAGCAATGTCCAGTGCCACCACACAGCTGACTTTGGATTCATCCAGTGACTGGTGCCACTTAGTGGAGAGGTTTAACAACAGATCAGCAGCAGAGTAACCTTTCCTGAAGCCATATTGATGATCACAAAGTAGTGAGTGGTAGTCAAAAAACTCTGTCATTTGTCTTGAGATTATTGTCTCAAGGATCTTACCAGTGATTG